AATGATACAATACAAATGTAATATATTCGGGTTCGTCACCTTCAATTTTGTTTGTGCTTCTTATTGGCTTTACTTTATGGAATTTGATATAAAAATTTTTTAAATTTATTATATTTTTTGTAGCTTATTATATTTTCCTTCTATTTCTTATTGTGATATAGCTTTATTTTCTTCCTGTACTTCCTGTACTTCCTCTACTTCCTGTACTTTGCCGCATATTTGTTAGTATGGTATGTACACTATAATTTTGATGTAATATAAATTCTAATTGTATGCGCAACTATTAGCAAGTTATTAACGTGTCATACGCACTATAGCAAGAATTTACACGTGCCAACGAATAATATTGTAATGTTTGCTACTGAATATTCATGCTACAACACACAATATTTCGTCCATAGATTTGGTGCGGGATTATCCTACGAGGATTATGAGGCAATAGCGCGGCACAAATTGGAACGTCAGGGAAGTGCAAATTTTTCCAGAACGCGAAAGTATCCGCCTGGGATGACATACGAGGAAATAGCATCCTCCAGATCCTCGAGCAAGAAACAGGAAAGTCGAACTGAGCAGGACGATGTCAGTCCCGATCGCGACAGCCAGGAAAGTATAGAGCCCATTCAGGAGCAGGACATCAAAGCGACCGGACCCGATCCTTATGAGAAATTGAATTACAAAGCAGGTGATTAGCCCTCGCCTCCAATTATCCGCGGCAGACGTCGAATGCTCTTCGTCTTCGACGACGGTCGCTATCTTTCTTTCACTCGCGGTTGTCGCGATCATGCAGTTATCGAGACTCGGATGGAAATAATATGCTGTGTTCTTCTTTCTTTTCACGAAGCGAGGGCGCCGACCCGCTATCAGACGGTTGTTTTCCGTTTAGGTAAATGTAACAGTCAGTCAGTGTGGACTGCCCCTGTGATCTCACCCGCGTGTCCCCTCAGTGTTACACCTAGGGATGCTTCAGCTTAAAATATCGATACTTTTTACTTGTTAGACCACGTGAAGCACCGGTGAATATTATTTGACACTCTATTAAAAAGTAATGGCATTCTATAGTATTTGTGAGTTTTTGATATAGTGAGAGAAATGAAGGTTAACGCAAATAATCATTATGTTTTGTAGAAACCACTCTCTAAAAGTCAATCAGTGCATTGTCACTGAAAACAGTTATAAGTATAGCACTGAATTATCCATTATTATTCCGTGAATCAGTGAATATTACTGTAATATTTTCAGTGATAATCCACTGATTGACTTTTAGAGAGTATATTTTAGAAGAGTTCTTTCCACAAAAGATTATTACGTCTTTAACAGCGATGAAATATTAACGAAATTATGTTCCGATTTAATATATTTTTCTCAAGCATTGATATGCACACGCAGCTAATAAAATAAATTATCGACGTTCAAAGTGTACCCAAACAAAGTCTCGATATTTTAGAAGCTATTGTACTTACATCTTATCACATGCCCGAGTTTCTGACCCCTCTTCCTCAGCTAGATGTGATTAGCGAATACTAGTGCAATCGATATGTCCGCGTAACCCGGTGTTCGAATATCGGTGAGTCGATTGCGATGAGGCCTCATGCGGTTTGACCTGGAGATATTGATTTTCGCAATTAAACGTTTCATGATGCTTTTCAAGCTATTTAAATGGAGACCAGAATCTAATTTCTTTTGCCGTATCTAAATTATACAATGTATAAGTGAGAAATGGAAGACCCCTTTTATTCAATTCTGTAACATTTGTTTTCGTAGAGATTATATTGCTCGGATTCAAATATAATTTTAATGTGCATCATGTACATGCTTTTTGATTTCATTCTAGGTTTATCTATTTATATAAGTTTCAACAATAAATAATGAATATGGCGAGAATGAATAAATGTATCTTAAATTCATACTTTTTGAAAAATGAGCTCTCTAAAAGTCAATCAGTGGATTATCACTGAAAACAGTGAATAGTCACTGATTTGCAATTATAAGTGCACCACTGAAAATCGCAGTGGTATACTTATAACTGTAAACCGGTGACTATTCACTGTTTTCAGTGATAATCCACTGATTGACGTTTAGAGAGAGGACATTAGAAAAAGATGTATTAATTTGTATTATACATATATAACAAATCAAGTAAAATTTTAAATCGGAAGTTTTAAGAGAGCTATGGTTAACAACGTTGCATCTTTACATTTCTTTAGAATTAGAACTGCACAATTTATGCCAAAAAGTATGTAAAATTTCGTTGTATTAAATCATAACATTTAAATCAAAGTGACATTTTGTCTCGTTTTACTTAGTTTTTAATAAGTTTAATGAATGAATCTTGAAGAAAATAAGCTTAAACACTGTCGTCTTGGTTTTTTAAAATTATATTTCATTAATCACTCTTTTTTTTGGACGTGTTATATATAAAATTCAACTCGGCACTTGTATATTCGAACACGTCATACTTGTAGTTTCTTGCCAGACATTGCATCCTTTTGGTAAAGATGTTGTTATCTGTTTATATGTGTGCATACTTTCACACGAACTGCCTATTGCACCCCGATTGCATTCATAGTTTGAAAGAATTCTACGTGGGTGGGAAAAATTCCGTTGCGTGTGGTAACAGTCTCGCGATAAATAGTCGCACTTATCATCCACTGGACGCTTCAGTTATTTCCGCAACGTTGAGCGATACATTGTGAGGATGTATAGACAGTTAAGTAATATCGCGGATGTAAATATGTAACTGTCGATAACATATAACAATAGTCATTTGCGAGTGTGCGCCGCTGTACTTTGGATCATTTCGCTCAGAAAAATTTCATGACATTAACAAGTCAACAAGTGATTGTGGTAATTTTACGTCTCGTTAATGGGATATGAACAGTAGCTCTAGGCAAGTAATACTAGTATAAAATATTTATTTGTATAAAATTTATGTTATAACCGTATTAAAATTACAGATTATATTTATATTATTTGTAATAAGTATGGAAGAAAATATTGTTTTAATTCAAGTATAATTTTAGTGTATACTATAGACACGCTTTTTCATTTTATTTCGGGTTAATCTATTTATATGGGTTTTTTTTCGTGTTTAATATATAAATTCGGAATTAATGTAGCCGGAATATAATTGTGCAAGAGTGCTGGACACTTTAGTTGCATAGTTTAGTCAACTGTTTCTTTGTTGTTTATTTTTGTCCGACGAATTATTAGACTAGATTCGACTGTCGCCCGTGACGCACCATTGCTTGACACATACAATTATGTAAAGATTATATTCAAACGTATATTTGTGTGGCGTAAATATATATTTTTTTTTATTTTAGACATGCCTTGCAGCAGTGATTCTACGAGCGATCAAGATGGATATGGACCCAGCACTAGTCTGGATTCCAACATGGATGGTCGCAGAATGTGGCAACGATCGGGTATCAATTATAATTTTTTTATATGCTAATACATGGGTAACAATTTAAACAATTTATACGTTGAAGTTTGTCCAAGTAGAAATGTGTATGTATATGGCAATATCATAAAGAAAAGTATTATAATATTTATAATAAAATTATTATTGTTCAGGATCATCGTGTTCCGTTCAGTCTTGGGCTTCGAGTTTGTCGGCTGATAGTCAATCGGAGGAAGCTGCTGCGGATTTCATGAAAGCTTTTGTACCTTTGTTATTCGACGCGCCTAACACTATCGATCAAGAGCAAAAGGCTAATTTCGGTCAAATGGTTTTGGTATTTATCAAATGTTATGGAATATTTTAATTTCCTCATAGTGATTGCATCAATGTAGTTATTTCTCACAATAAAATGGATAAAAATTGAAGAGATTACAAAATAGATGTAACTCCTCAATGATTAATGTAAGGTACTAAAATTAGTAAAAAAATATGTTCGATTTGCCACTTGATTTGATAGAATAATGAACTTGCAGACAGAATCGGGAAGAATATGGTTCTCCAGGGTGGTGAACGCGAGAAGAGCACGTGCGTGTGTTACAGAAGCTTCATTTTATTCTTTAGCCCAGCATTTCGCAGTCGCGCTATTCGAATGCCACGAAGCGGACGATTTTGCGCCAGCTAAAAGTCTGATGAATATGTGCTTCACTTTTTATCACGAAGGTAACGAGAAACTTTGCAAAGTAGGAAAACATTAAATAAAAAAATTAAATTAACTGTTAATTTTTTAGTGTATAAATAATACAGGAAAATTGCAAAAAGTAGAATTGTGCAAACATTAATGACTAGTGTAGCACGTATTATAATAATATTTTATAATATTTTTTTTATATATTGTATATCATTATGTTACATCAATTAAATATATTTAAGAGACATAATCTTGAAACTAAATTATATGTATAATAAATACTTAGGTGTACACGATTACTATTAAATTATTAAGAAATTGCTGTGTAACTGTTATTAATTTATGATTCTTGCTTATTTTTACTTTTTTACTATTTATTGAATGTACCGCATATTTATGGTTAAAAAAGATTGTACGCTTATTCTGTGGTTTTAGTGGAAGTTCCTGGATTAGAGCCCTATCGTGAATATCTGTACACCCATTTACGCGTTCAACCAATATGGACGTCCATGAGATTTTGGACGGCTGCTTTCTTTGACGCCGTACAATGTGAGCGAGCGTCTAGACCGGTACCACCTAGACCGAAGTCATTAGATCAGGAAAGTATCGCCGCCGAAGATAGAAAGTTTCAAGCAAACATAGTTTTCGGACAGTTAGGGTAAATATAAATACTCTTTAATTGATTAAATAAAATACATATTTGATCATTTTATATAAATGTTTTTACTGTAACGATTTTTTTTTAGGACTTTTACTTGTAACATGCATGCTTTCGGCCTGTCACGAGTTTTATGCACAGAGTTCCTCCGGAAACAATGTATTATCGCGAATTTAACTAAAGGTAATTATTCAAATTTAATTAATATATCGAGGTAACACACTTTTCTGATTAGGAAATGTTAAGTTTAAAATAATGAAAATATCTCAATTTGATTTTTCAGAACAAGAGAAAATGCTGCGAGACAATATAGATCGAATGTTCGACGAGACCGAGCCATGGCGGTAGTTTAGTTTGAGCGAAGAGGTAGAACCGATTTTGAAAATCACTTTAAAGAAACGTTTTGTGACGTTTCTTCTTGAAAATATTTCCGACGAAATCGAATTGTCTTCGAGCGCAAAGAAAGCGGAGAAGTCAATTATGAAAATAATCTTGTTAATACCGTTGATGTATTACATCGACATTTGTTAAATTTTTCGCGGTATTTGACGCTGCATGGGTACGTCAATTTCTAAGATGCAAACACTGCACTAACCTCGCGCCTTAAATTGTGAAAGGTATTTAAATTTTACGTTTCTAAAATGAATATGAAAAATTTTTATAAAACCGCATTAAAACATTAATTTTATAACTCTAACAGAAATTAGGAAAAATTAAAATTTGAAAATTGGGATTTTGAGTAATTTTAAGTTTTGAAATGAACTATATAAAGATTACATAGCGATGATAAAATTAAGAATAAAAATGACAATAAAGTGAAAATCGAACTGCATTATTGACAGTTCAATTGAGAAATAGTTTGTTGGGTACAATTTGTTATATTGAGAAGGAATGAAAGGGGGAAGAAATGTTTTCTTAATAGTAAAAAGCACGTAATTCAACATATAGGCAATTTTTGATACTTAAGGATTCATTTTATCAATTCTAAAATAAAATTTCACACAAATGTTTCGGTAAGTAACTCTTCTGGCATGTTTTGTTCGAAAAATCTATATCTTTTACAACTAATAATAAGATCTTTTTTCCGTTACTTAAAATATTGACTACGTCAAATAAAATGTAATAAATAGTTTTGATGCGTTAAAAACGACTTTTAATGTCAGATAACAGTTTGTAGTATTGTTTATAATTAAATGTACTGTTTTTACTCTCAAATTAATAGCTAATGACAAAAACACGGATTACAATAGACACTTTATATTGCATTTTTCCTAGCACATATAGAAATCTTAATGCATTACGTGCTAATTTTGCCCTAGTTTAGAAATTCCTAAAAATTATGATGCATTTTGTAAATGAGGCTTCAAAACATATAAAAGGCAAGTATTTTATCTTTATTATTAAACAGAAATTTTTAGCACAATTATTTTTTTCTAATAGCGAATGTCAGCATATGTAATCGACGATTTGTGCATTCCGACGCCTTTATCACACACATCATGCAATGTAAATAATTTTTTGGGAAGAGCTTGTACCTAAACACATATCATCAAATGCAAATTAATACGCTCTATTTTATTTTATATATATACTTATCTACCTGCGATATATCTGCAAAGAAATGATAAACTAAAAAATTAAGGGAAATAAAGATAAATAAATTTCATTACCGCATTTCAGAATCTTTAAATTGTAAGTTAATAACCCTTACTGTTATATGTATACGTAGATATAGATTAAAGTAAAAATGTCTGGAAATTTAAAAGAGTATCGTGAAAGAGAAATTGTAAATCGAATACTATCAAATACTGAATTTATTTATTTTAAAATCTACAGAAAAGGAATTATATATAATTTAATTGATTTATTCATGCCTTACATTTTATAATAATTTAAATGTTATTATATACAAAATATATTTATTTTCAGAAATTATTTAAAAATTACTGTTTATTGGGATATCTAAAGCACAATTTTTTGAAATTCCTAAAATTATATGAGAAATCTTTGTTAAAGTTATTTATTTATTATCTCTTTTTATCAACTTCGGCAGTCTTCAAAAATTTTATTTAACTTCTCTTTGGACATCAGTATTTTTTTCTTTTCTACTCTCCAAACTATTCGAAGCGTATGGTTTTAGTGAGGACGTTTTTAATAAAGTCTTAGAAATAGAGGATTTCTTTCTATTGTTATTAACTTTTCTAGGACTTATGAAAGATTTGTCGTCAAGGCTTATGTCTGGATATGGATCCCATTGATTTTGAGACGGTACTAGATCACTTTGTTTCCAATTTAAAGATTTTCGAAAATCTTCTCGAGCTTTCAGATATTTCTCAGATAATGAAGAAGATTGATTGTCCCCTCCTGGTAATGATTTTTTGTTGTTTACGAGAGACTCGTTGGATGCTTCGCTAAATGGTTCAGATTTCTCCGAAAGCTTCTCCAGAATTCTGTCACCCCGAAACATTTTGTTGGAAAAGTTATTTATGACACTGTCTCCAGTAAGTTTTAATTGTTTCAACTTATCAATATTCTGAATTTCGTGTCTAATATCTAAAATGTCCCGTGTTTTCTTCGTTTGTTGTACGTAGCTAAAGTCATAATCAAATATGCTTCGTGGACTTCGAATGTTCTTCAAACTTGCATCGTTTACGTCAGCCAAATCAAAATTGCCATTTCCAACTATAAAATGATTCTCCAACAACGCTTTATCAGTATTAAGTATTTCAGACTTGGTCGCAATTACTTTTTTCTTAGGTTTGCTCTTTATTTTCGATTGAGTCTTGCTATGTAAATTTTGTGTTAAAACTGGAGACGATTTGATATTTCCTACGATATTTTTGGGTAATGTTGTTTTAGAAACAGTTTGCGTTTTACATTTTAATTTCTTTTCTTGTGTTGATATTGTTGATTTCATGTTGACGTTGTTAATTTTATTCGAGTATTTTTTCGACGTCCGGTTTAGTTGTTCGTCAAACATTTCGTTGTGTTTAGGGACACTTTCAGTTTCTTGTTTCGGTGTCGTTCTTGGCATAATTACATGTTTTTTTAAATTTATTTTATTCACGTTGATTATAGAATTAGTACTCTTTATATCTTTTGTTTGCAAAAGCGGTTTCTCGTGCTTTGTAGACGTGCGAAATCGAGTGTCAGGCATTGTTGTGGTAAGTGGAATCCTGACAAGATTCGCCATCGAAGATTCTGAGCGTTTTTTCGTCATATTCTTGATAGTTGACGTTTTGTTTAAGATAGATTTTGGTGCATCACTGATTGGTCTTATGAGTAATTTGTTAGTTTTTGCATTACTCGTAACTGATGATGGAACTCGAAGATTCTAAAAAAATGTATTTATGTATAATTGTATTACAAATTTTTTGTTTATTTCTGCTTATTATTTTGTACCCTTTGATCTTTGATCGACGCCTGCATTTGTATGTCTTTATATAATTCTTTCCAATCAGAGACTATAATCTTGTGCCTCTCTTCTGAACTAAAATTGGCGTTTTTGTCTCTCATATAAAGTATCTGCCAAACTGAATCAGCATTGAATACCTGATAGAAATACCATCTTTAAACAAGTAATAGGATTATATATTTCAATTTCTTTATTTTCTCTTATGTTCAATGTATTTTATTTAATAATTCTTTTCTAAAAAAATTTTTTTTAAATTTAACTTGTTTGTTCTGTTTTTATAATATAAGTAAAAAAAAGAATAATGTAGAAGAATAGGTACTTCGTTTGTTATGACAGCACAGGTTTCTTACTATCTTAAAAAAGAAACAGAGAAGCAGAGTAGAAAATTAACAATTACCATTAATCTTATTAAAAATTCTTTTACCTCATAGGCAATATGTGATAATGAAGATAATTTAATTATGTCGGTGAACTCCAAATATCGTGATATTTTTTCGATTAAAGATGCGGGTAAAGTTAAAAGAGTATTTTTATTTCCTTCAGCAATATTCTGTATCTGTTTTAATAAATATTTACCTGCAATATTGAAAATTGCAGCTTAGTAAAATTATTAAGAGAATAAAAGTAAAATTTCAATTTTACATTATGTTACATAATTTTATCTTTGATAAAGTATTCTAGAAGTATTAAGTTTTATAATACATATGTGTATGTGTATGTGTGTAATTTACGATGAGTATAATATAACATATTATTTTAAAATAATATGAGAAAATAGAAGTAAATAAAATTTCTATAACACAATCTGTTATGGATAGAGTTAAACATTTTGTTATAAGCAGAGATAAGAAATGTCTTACCAAATCCACGATGTATTTCGTTCTGCAAGGATTTTTCTTGATTGAATTCCGTAAACTTGGAGCGATATACGATCGGTGCTTTATGAGGTCCGTGAGAAATTCTCCATAGGTATAGAATTATCTACGAAATGTGGAAAGGTTAACAGAAAAGCAGATGATGTTGATTTCACCAGTACCTCGTCTTGAAAAACCTTCAGACTGTAATAATCTCTGCTGGGCGGAGGCGCAACTGAATACTTTACCAAGTATTCGAGCCTGTTGCTCATGCTTGACGGAATCACGTCAAGGAAGTTTAATCTGAATATCGCAATTTGTTGATTTTTTTATTGCAAAACGGCGTGTATATCGAATCGAAACGTATAGGGTGTACATCGTAAATATTAAATTTAATAATGAAATACTTTTATTAGCAACCTTTAAACAGACTATAAAGAAGAGATTTTTATTAAAAGTCAATTTGGGTTGAATAACAAAAAGTATAATTAAATGATTGTGTATAGATAGATAAAATTAAAGTTGATTAAATCAGGAAAATGCATATTTATTTAATATAAAATGAAAGTAAAGTTTTATAGAATAGAATAATAAATACTATTATGTTTGAAGTTATTTTAACAATTTGGAAGGTCAAGCATCGTGGATCAAGATTTCTTCCACTCGAAAGAAAAGAACACACGAACAAATTTGACTTTGTGATATTTTATTACAATTTATTTTTCATATGAAGAGATGAAGATAAATATAGAAATGTCGAAGTAAAAATGGAAAGTCGTGTGGCATTACGTATAGTAACGTAGCAATAACAATATACAAGGTAGGCTATATAGTAATATCACAATGCATGATTCACAATTTCATAAAAGTCTAGAGAATAAGATATAAATCTAGATATAGAGAATGCTTCTCATATTGAGTTGCCGCAGAGACAGAGTACCGCGTTATGTCGATCAATTAAAAAATTTTCTATCATACTTTTCATACTTTCACGAAGATGGACGTACTTGAAGCACGTCATTTCGTAACGATTGTCGTTATTATTATCGTGTAAAAAGATTGTATATAATAATCGCATCAACAGCGCATGTAATTCAATCATAATCTATATTAACATTATATTAAATATGATTATTTGAGAATCACAAAATTTACATGGTAAATTTGAAGGATGCAGATCTAGAATCGGATAGTCACATTTTTAGTGCTGTAAGGCAAATATCAAAATTCCTGATAGTAAAATCTTAGTATGATTAATAAATAACAGAAGAGTTGAAAATTTAATCTTTAGAAACTAGTCCAAAATTAAAAATAAGCTGTTTATAATACGTGAAAAAAGTAATAGACTTTTGATATTTCTTTCCTATTTGAATAATGCAGTATTCCAAATTAAATAATGTTTAAAAAATATCATGTTATTTAGATAATGTATACAGATTGATTTTTCTCTGGTTGATTGATTGATTCACTATTAAAGATACTAATGGAGAAATCTGTTATTATGGACATTTAGTGAGCTGCATATTATGGCCATATTAATATATGCATCGGCTGAACAATATAATGAGACACGATTGGAGCGTGGAGTGCGTTCAAGTGCGCGTTTTAACGATGCAAAATGTACCTACAATATTTGTACAAAATATTTTACAATGCACAAGAAATGAAATATTTTAAAGGAATTACTCCTTAATATTTTACGCTTGAAATGACGCGAGTTAATAAACAACTAAGAAGGTGAGAAATATAATTTTCTTTGGAATATCCCTCTTTAGCTTTTTCAAGCGCAATGGTATAACCAGTGTATAGGATTAATTTAAGATTGAATAATTTATAAAATTACTTGCGATAATAAATAACAACAACCGTACTATTAACGTTTCTCACGAATACTTGGTTGCGCGATTGATATGATTTCTAGCTCCTCAGGCGATCGCTGTGTCTCGACGATACGAAAAGCCGCATGAATAAATTATTACGTGCTAGCATAATCGAAAAATCTTACGGAATAAATCTAAGCGGTATAAAAAGATTTCGGGATTTTCGAGCCGCAGGATAACGCGAATCAGCCGTTGTTGTGTAAAATCAGTACGGCAATCGTTTGTCCGATCCGGAAAATTCCCGTGATTCGCGACCGTGCAATGACGTCGAAGAGCCGAAAAGGATCTCGTTCTCGTTCGAGAAAATTTGCGCTTTTTCGAATAAACCTGTTTCGTAGATATCAAACTTCTTTCTACAATCGCGCTTTCGCGCGTGATTGTACCGGCAGACTCGTGGAACGTTCGTAGAGCGATTGCACCAGTGAATGCACAAATATCGTGGTGACTGTGACATGTACATTACGTTGCATTAATCAAAAATTATTCAATAGCATTTACTCACGGTAATTTATATATTGATATTGACAGATAATTTTTCGACATACAAATTCTAGATGTTTATTTATTTTCACTTCTTTTACTATATTTAATATTTTTAAGAACCTGATAGAAGTTGATTATTATTTTAGTGGAACAACCAATGATCGTTTCCATAATCACATCGGTTATATGCACCGATACATGCATATGTATTACACAAAATAGACAGCCTTGTGTCATGAGCATTGTTATCGTCAATGTAACTTTTTCTACTTGGTGCACTCGCTCACTGACGAATTTTCGTGCACGAGAGATTTCGATGCATCTACGTGCAACGGAAGTAAGTCCCTTACATGTATTGAATATTAATAAAAATAATAAACGACTCATATTTTTAGAGATCTTAACACATAAATGATAACGCAAAGTATGTGACTAATATAATATAAAATATTATAATCGTGTTTATATACGGAAAAGTGAAATTGATCGAAATAATTTCAAAATTAATTTTGTAAGTTAGATTTTCTAATTAATTGTAAGATAAAAATCTTTAGATACGATTTGGCTAATAATGTATTGCATCTACATGTACTATATCCAAGTCTTAAATTTTCTCTTTCATTCGCTATGTGTACATTTCACCCAAATAATACTTGTGCGTCATGACACATTGAAATGTTTAAAAGAATGACTTACTCTTCCGTTGCTACGTGTACGCGTTCGAAAGTGTATACATAAATATGTGTGTATACATATACAATGTAGATATACATAATAAATATCCATATAACGTTTTGGAAGAACAGATTTGCATATTGCGACAGCGCGAAGAGGATCGGAACGCCTTACCGAGGAAACGCGGTCTTTCGGATATGTCACTGGTCACCAACGCAACGGTCAGAATTATAGGTAATCGAAATCTTTGCACATTATACATTGTTCTCTCGTGTCGCAACTAATTTCGTTACGATTAATAGAAAATTATCACGTGACAATATTAATTACTGTAATAACATAACTTATTATATATCATTAGAAAATGATATTATACATTACATAAAAATAAATATTGTTGATATCTTAGTTCTAAATTAGACTAATAGTTATTGTTATTATCACTTCACAGGTTTAGGTTTAGATTTATTTCTTTTCGTCGTCTCATCGATAAGGCGCTCAGCAGAAGATTTAACGAGCACGAGGTGCAAGGTGCTCGGATTGGAACTTAACTTACTTGGAAACATCAGGAAATGTGCCTCGTCGATTTTGATAAATTTCGAATATGCTATAGAATGGCTGAAAAATAAGAGGAAAATATTCGAAGTTGATCAAAATTGGTAAAGAATATTTCCAAGCTTTCCTTGCTAGATCTAAAAAGAGAGAGAGAGAGAGAAGGAGCCGTTCGAAACTCCACGCCGAGCGAAATTGAAGGATAGGTGCGTTTGCTGATCGATCGACCCAATTTTCTTACGAGGCGTTCCAAGAGTTCTATAGATTCTACGCGTTCTATAGATGTGTTTCGTACGTCGAGTAGAGTCGAAGGGTCAATCGAGGAATCACGTCGCGGGAGCAACGGATGAGAGATCGACGTAGAAAAGATTTGACCGACTAAATTAGTGGCTTAGAAGGTAGACATGACAAAAATGCCCTCCTGTGACATGGCTGTAGAGAAATATCGTGTCTTCTATCAGAGTGCGATAAGATCATAAACATGAGCTTAATAAATGCAGTATTCAGGACTTGCAATTTGTGGAAAAATCAGATATTGTGTCTTAGTCGATTCTACCGAATGACATTTCGAACTTTGTCTGCCAAATTGGGCAATTATTCAATAAATTTCATAAATTTTTAAAATATAATTTCTACCACTCAAGATAGCTGAATCTCTTTTGCTACTTGAAATTCTTCGCAGAGTGTGAGATACAAGGTTCGCGATCCTATTTCCAGGCCACAGAATGGCATTGGTTACTTCTAAGGTATCGCGACGCTTTGTTACTCTTTACGATTGTTGAATGACCGACATCGCCGTCTCAGTGATTGCTCTTCCGTCCCTGCAGATGCTCGATGATGTTGTCGTTTGCTCGGAAGGGGCAGCCGCGATTGTCAGTTGTCTTTGCTCCATGTGATCGAGAGTCTTCTCGATGGCTCGTAGCCGCTTCTCCAAGCTAGTAGTGCCAAGGATACCCACTTGCAATTGCGGTCCCAGCGGCAGAATCGCAAGCAACCACCATGCCCACGACGGACCGTCAGGTAGACGCGGCCAGTCCTCCTCTGTGTCCGGCATACGTCCGAATACCCGTTGAATCTCAGACTTTTGAGAGGTCGACACCGTGTCCCACCATCTTCGACCTTTTGCTCGTACCTGTAATGTTAGATGAATAAGTAATGCTATCATGAGACGAAAAATATATATATATTCTTTTCTCTTTTTGAATAAATTAATATTTATTACAAGACATGTAAGTATAAAGAAAAATGCGAAGTAAATGAAAAATTACAATTTTTCCCAGATTTAATATAATATGATTAAAATAACGTTAGAAAGATAATCAGTTGTAGTTTTGTCATTGAATAAGTGTGAAATTCGTTTCATTATATTTGAGATTGCACAATTTTCACCTTATCATGAAGTTCTAAAAGATTTAATAATTGATCTTCTTGTACGACAGTGTCCCTGAGAAATTCCACCTGCGCTGTATCGTAACCATCTTTTTCTTCACCGGAAAGGACCCTAAATCTTCTACCACCGACCGTGCTGAGAATACTGCAACCATCTTTGAGCAATACTCGATCTCGAATGTCTAAGATAGTTCCATATTCCGCATATCTAGAAAAAGATAAGTGAATATTATTCATTTAGTAGTCATATCTCATATCTTTTAAATGTTTTTTACGTAATAATATAATATATGATATAACCGCTATGTAAATCATGCCTTATATGTATATATGTATAATATACATATTTATATTATACATATACGAGTATACGAGTAAAAAGATTGTTACTCGAATATAAAAACTAGTAATTGCGAATAAAATATTACATGCAAATGCAATCTTTTCATCGCTAATCGGTTAATGTAATAAACTAAGATTGATCGAAATATAAATAAGAAAGTTAAAATATTTAACAACTGGAATAATATACTAATTTATATTGCGGTTATGCGCAAACAAAAACTTGAAACTATCGTAAAATAAAGTCGCCGCACCTCTTCGTGCCTGTTGCTTCCTTGTTGAGACATGCAGCGATTCCGAACTGGCGTACTCCGCTATCCACACATCTTCTAACCATCAGCCTGTATCTGGGTTCGTAGACAAACAGGGGACAGGCGACACAGGGAAAAGCTGTCGTGCAGATAAAGACGGCGATTTGTTCGTTACCCAAAAGACCAAGTCCTTGGACCAGTTCGAGCTGATGACTCACAGCTCTGGAGGTGTATTCCGCGGGCGCCACTGTTTTAAGCGCTCTCTCTACGAAATCCGTCACTGTTTTCTGGCTACTGGCTAGATACTGAGAGCCAAGAAAAAGGTTGTCAGTTAATAAAATCGTTCGTGTGTATAATCGTGTCATTCATAATATCAGTTTCAAACAAGCGAGGCAAGTAAATCTCACGGAACGACAAGTATTGTTACTCGGGATTTGTAAATTGATGTTTAGAATGAGTGGATAGTACGCGAATGTATCGTGAAGCTATTTGAAACGAGAAATAGAAAAGTAAAATGTTATCGTTGTCTCAACTGCCGTTTCACGTAGTAAAAAATGTTTTCTTATTTCTTTTAGCATTAGAATATTTATAATTTCTGTTAAAAAATAACGTTTAGCAAGTTTTACGTATTTGTGTATACCAATGCATAACAAAATTACAAAATCCCGCAGAGTAATGCAACCTATGTAAGATTATTAGTTGCAGGATACGTCTGATAGCAAAGAGTGTCGCAGAAAGAATATTTCTAGATAATCAAGTGCAATTATCGATATATTGCGGAGATACAAGAAAAAAGACAAGGAGAAGTCCGTCGCAATATTATCGCTGACGTTGCCGTTCTCATCGTCATTAAATATAATATAGACAATCGGTAATGACGCCACGAACGCGGAAGCTCGTGACGACCGCAAACAATAATCTTTTCAATCTGCGGCGTCGTCGTTAACCGCTAGAAAGTATCACGTCTCATTTACGGACAGGTGTTGTTATGGAATCTCGCGTCTATGTATTTCTCTACCTTTTTGAGATCAAGAATTCGTGTACCATATAATGAAGAAATTTGAAGACATGAATACTTTGGAGAAAAATGTGGATCGCGTCAGTTGCATAAATATAACTGACAATTACATAAATTGCTGCGTTAAAGTAATAATATTGTTCAAAGCATTTCTGTAAAATTAATTAGCACTTATATAGAAAATTCTCTTACGTCAGCCAAAGACGTGACGCACAAGGGACACGCCGAGGAGTAATCCAGGCAGCGGTCCAGGCACATCCAGCAGTAGGTGTGACCACAGGGCGTCGTGACAGGTTTCCAAAGCAGGCGACAACATAAGATGCAATCCAATTCTCCAGCAGTACCGCTAGAAAGAGTTGGCAAGAGAAATTCGGCGGGTCTCGGTTCAATTCCTGCAAATAACGTCGTCGTAAGATATTTTTACCAATATAAAAGAAAGTCGGCGGGCGATAGTACTTACTTTTCAATTTTTCTACATCCTGATATACACGATCCAAACTTGCTTGCAGCTTCGTGTTGACTTGCGGCACTATCGAGGACCGGACTCTTCTGTTTATTGTCTGTGAAATGAAAGAGAGCAAAGTGAGTAATTACAAGCCTGGAATACTTGTTGTAATGTGTAAAAGTTGAACAGATGCTTAGAAATATGTTGATAATAAAGATAGAAACGAAAATCTGAAAAAAAATTAAATAATTTAAAGAGTATAATAAAATATGTGTGAGGGACAAATAATGAGATAAAAGACAGTGCAATTTCAGACACTATCAAGTATTCATTTTACTGTTTACTTTTAATAATAATATTGATTATGTTATCGACGTTACCGTACTTTTTATTCTTGATAATAATGACGGCTGTGTCTAATATCGTTTATCATATTTCTTGATTACTTATGTTGAATGATATATAATCTAACTCCAGCCCCTTTTACCATTGGCAGAGTATATAGAGCATAGAAAATATCTAACAAGCATAAAATCGGGCAGTTTTCGAGGAAAGTACCTGTGTGAATTCTTCTTCGCCGCTGCTGTTATCCTCACAATCGGATCTGTTTAGGGTTGCGCGTCGACTGTGCTTGGGATTCATTAGATGACGACGATTCCTCGTGCGTGACGCGCTCTTCGTTAAACTATACGGTGTACGTGACGACAGGACACTTTGCCGATATACCTTGAGCGACAGCACTCTGTGCAGAATCTGCAGCACACGATCACAACTTGATCACATATGTGTCAATCGAATAAATTTGTATACAAAATCAAGAGACGCGGTCGTGAGATTATGCAGCCATTCATGAAAGCTATGTGAATGAATTTTGATAAGAATAATTTTTATAAATATTACATTTCCTGCACTTTAATAATAACGCAAAAATTAAATCTGTAAGTGACATAATCAACTTACGCGGTGCTTATGGGACGGTGCAAGAAATAGATTATATTGCATTGGCAAAAAGATGTTTGTACCATTTTGCAGATTGCCCTTTGTTCTACCTTGGTGCACCGACGAAGATATCTCCGATAAGAAGTTGAATTACTTATGTACGTTACGATAATTTTATCGCTTTATCACAGGGATCTTTTAAACCTTTCGAATACTCTTCTTTCTTCCAGATTTCGTCTTCCATATTTTCTATTTGGCTTTCTTTTTTACAGAGGAAGCTTGGTGAGTTAAGTTACGGTCAAATCAGAAATTACTTCTTCAGAATTTCAATTCGCACATAGCGCACCCTCTATGAGGAAGCCATGATCAAATTTCTAATTTTTCTCTTATGCGCACACAGGTTTTTGGCTTCCTGATAATAATAAAAAAGGTATTTTTTATACTTATATAAAATACGCACAACTGGAAGTTGTCACGTGAAATTAATTGTCCCCTCAAAAATCGTAGTTAAAAAATTATTAACAAAATGTGAAACAAGGTATAATTAAATTTAGAAATAGGTTCATTTAATTTATATAATTTTAGTACTTTTTATTGCGAGATATCTGATTTGAAAAGAATGCTTATTTTTTAATTACTACAATATATTAGGATTTTTAGATAAATATCGAATTTTTTAAATTCAAATTAGAGATGTGTAAAACAGGTGTGAAAAGAATTAATATGTTGATCTAATTTTAAACTATCCTCTTTGGCCAAAATTTTTGCCGAAACTTTACGAAATTCTTTTTGAATTGAAATTACAAAATAAAATTACAAAATATGATAATAATCGTGAGAAGATAAATTGAGTCACTGGTAAAAATTAAATTAATTGAAATTAATTCAAACAAACTTGTTTCAACATAAAGGCTCGATATTAAAAATTAATAAAATATTATAAATAAGGATGAAACTTTCGCAATGAACAAATTCCACTTGTTTCTTCAATAGCGCGTATCTCCTCCTCGAATACGTGTCCTACATATGAGATGCTTCTAATTGCGAGATCGCGACGGATATTCAATTGGTCGCTAAATCGGCGCGATTAACGCATGAAATAACACGGTTGAGTAATCCGAGACGTTTTCGGACGATGAAAGTAAAAGTGCGCCTTCCATAATGCGGACCCGACTGACGGATTCAGCGGCACGGGAAAGAATGATTCCCTGATCTTACATAAGTGGCGGTGCAGCTTGCATCAATGATTCTGCCGTCGCTTATGTAATCGCCGTGTGCTCGCAAATTCACCACGCTCCGCTCTTTACATTATTTACCATCGAAATTTGACGCGACCTGTCGTGTCGAATTACTTAATATTCGACAATTGTTATAGGTGCCAATTGTTAACTGCGTTTAGGGCGTCGCAGACACTCGCGTGTGGCGCAACGTTGCGAAACTTAACGTCGATCGACGTAGTCTCAATGCCAAATATCAATGAAAATTCGACATCTAATACTTATAGCACGGACATAAGCTTTACAGTAAATCTGTATTACAGCTACGTCCGTTTTAACGGTACTAAAACGTATCGAGATATCGAAACTTTTACGCGAGAAAATCTCCGCACAACACAGCTGAAGATGCAACGAGATGCTCTCGTGACGGGAAACGGGCCGACGTGTAAAAAGGTTTTCCAAAAAGCTGCGAACGAGAAGCGCGCGGCACTTAAAAAAAAAATTCGACGTAGAAGAGCATTTTGCATTATGTACGAGAGGATGGAGAACGCAGCGGTGCGGGGCCGTGCGTCACAGGGCGAGAGATCGATATATCGACGCCGTCGCGAACCGCGCGAAACAACACGCGGAAACGCTGGAAACGGGCGCGTTCGCTCGCGAGAGCCAAGCGTCGTTTCGCTCGCTCGCGCGAATGCGGTTATCGTTGCCCCTGGCGTGTGCGGGTCACTCACCTGACGACCATCGTACCGAGTCATTAAGGCAGCGCGGCCGGCAGCAGTCGTGCCGGAAACGCCGCGGCGCGCATTTCTTTTGTGTTGGCGATGCTCTCCGGATAGAGGTGGATGCATTCGGTTCCCCGCGGCGCATTCCGCCAGTCGCGCGATAGCGATTGCCACGCGAGGAACGCGAATTCCTTACCTTATGATCGAGCTACGGTTCGTTCTTATCCTCTCGTTCTATGACTCATGGGAATATTTCGAGGACTCGATGAATTTGTGCAACTCGATTCGTTCGAAACGCACCGCGCTTGATGCGACGATTTTTCATTGCCGAAAGACGTTCAATTATGCACGCGTAATTTTATTAATTTGTTGGAAAATAATTGACGCGGATAATCGATTGATTTCACGTATATCGCAGTTTTAATCTTACCGAAGTTTGTATGATAATGGGACTTGCATTTTGCGAGTAACTTGGGACCAATGTTTCATTTATTTTTTATGATTTTCAGCGACGAATTACTTTTGGTTAATTTCACCACGAAAAGCAAGGAGAAAATGTACCTTGGTCAATTCATGGCGCACAGCTTGCGGATTTCTGTCAATGGCCACGCTAATGCAGAGAGCGTAGAGCGCTTCTTCGTGCCTTCCGAGCGCCGATAAAGCGATCCCTCTTCTATAATGTCCCTGAAGATATAAAGTAAAAACATTACATTGAAATATTACAAGAAGTTTGATTTCCAACAATCAAATTTATACGCTATTGTAATTTAATAATTATTGTTATACAACAGTAACGAGAACACAATAAGATTTATATTACATGTAGCGATGTTAAAATTAGCTATCACACTATATCACACTATATTTTATATATTTATAGAGATTTCATTTTTATTAGAGAAAATCTTATTCAATTTAAATTGAATAAAGGCTATTAAATCAAGATATATGCTAAAGCAGACATGTCTTGCTGACACTTGCACCGATATTCTCTATAGGCTCTGGTCCTGTATTTCCTCACCTTGCCCCAGTCTGGCCGCAATCTGACTGCATGATCAGCGTCCGTGAGAGCGGCTAAAGGCCTATTCAACAGGAGCAAGACGTGAGCCCTGTTGCTAAGGTGGAGCGGGCTATTCGGCGCTGAAACATGAGAAAACAAGCTCGTAGAATGCCTACCGAATGACGAACGAGTTCTGGTTTGAAGCGCCTTAGGATTTGTTTCGTGGGAATCAAGGAAATAATCGGAACAAATGTATTCCATTCTGAGGTTTTTTCAAAAGCGGAGCAGGTATTCGATCAAAACACCGGCGAGCGCTGTCTCGCCGACTGGTGGCTGGTATTATGATTCACACATGCCGCATCGGACAGTGGAGATGCAAAGCAGACATTTCGCAAACAAACTAATAATTGCATACATTAGACAGTGCAATCGCTTGTTCTGACAACTTTTATTTAGAAAATTGCATATGTATGACGTGATGCAATAATATTACACACTTGTGTGACATTTAAATCAAACGAGCACTCGAAAGAGCGTTGCGTCACTCACGCACACGTCGTTGCATATTTTGCATAAGAATGCACTTATCGTCGTGTACACATTCTGAGGGGGTTTAAGTTTTTTTTTTACGATTAATAGTCTGGACTTGTTTGATTTCGTGGAAACGCGTCTTGTAAAAAAGCGCCGTTCATTTGTGGCGAAGCACATTTCATAGAAGCGACCGCGGACGATGCCACTGGCCGATGCAAGTGGCGGCGGCGGCGGCGCGTCCTGGCATTGTGAGCAATGTCATTGCCTCCGCGGCTAGAGTCCCTTACTTGGCCGGAGAAAATTTCTGACGCGCGAGTCAATATAGCGGATGCTACAAGTGTGCGTGTGTCATTGAGATACGCTTTATACTCCGCGATGAAATAAATTGAAAAAGAAATGCGCCTTGAACTCAAATAAACTATTTAACTTGGTACATTTTAATATTTTGAAAATTTTAATTACTTGAAATTAAGTTTATCAAAATTTAAATTACACATTTCTTTCCACGTTTGTTTTATATTTATACGAAGTTAAGTTTTGGACGCACAGTACAAAATTTCGAATAAGAAGAAAAGTGCAGTGAGAAATTGCGAAATAAAAACGTGTAGGATAAACTAATTGTAAGTCTTATTGCTTAAAAATTGAGAATATCGAACATAATTTTTTTAAGAGATTATGTAAAAAATTAATTAAACCTTCAGATTTCTGCGTAAAAATTAATATAATATTTGGAAAGAAATATATAATATACATTGAAAATTAAAATAATGGGATGATAAAGAGTTTGATGAAATTCTTTGTCGAAGAAGAATCATTGAAAGCTTTTTATTATCTACGGTTTCTGCTCGCTTCTAGTATTAATATAAAACGCACGATGTTTTGGATATTATATAATATTTGAGATAACGCACTTGAGAAATATCTTATAAGTCTAAAATGAAAAAAGACAATATATGTTTTATAAAGCTCCACCTCGATAAATGGCAATTTTGAGAGCGATTATTGTATAATTACTTGTAACGCAACCGCGACTTGCATAATCGTCTTAGTTTATCTATGTGTGAACATCTGTCTTCGTGATAAATAAAAAAACAGATCATATATTAAACTCTCATTAGTTGTAACGAGATATGCTCAGATTATCTTGGGATCGTGCTGGATCTGCGACGTTGTTTAGAAGAATCTCTAACATTTGATATATTGAATAAATGCAAAGAGCGTTCCCCATAAGCCGGCTTATGTAACTTGCCTTTAAATGTTGCGACGTTTGAATTTAAAGACGCGACACGAAGAAACCTAATCATTGCGCGAGAATTGTATAAGCCTCTTATTCTTATATCTCAAAAATCCTGTTGTCGTTGAATTACACGTGTAACTGATTTCAATTTCTTAGTCTTTTTACTATTTTTAAGTTAAGCTTACATCAAGTGCGTTTTTTGTCTTAGAAAAATTAAGTATTTCGTAATTACATTATTATTTAACCTTAAATTTACATTATAGACGATCTCTCTCTCTCTCTCTCTCTCTCTCTCACTATTTTTCGCTCTTAAAATGGCCATAGAAACAGCGGCAGGAGTAGAAGTAGAAGCAATAAAATTTTGAGAATATAACATTTATGTCATAAATACTTTTTAATCGAAAGAATTTCGCGACTAAAATGATGAATGGTAACGTTAGGATTTACACGAAGTTACCTCAATGTTTACTTTTATCACGGCGCTGTTATTACCGATGCAGCGCGACAATTCATAGGCATAGTCGAGATAATCGAGAAATCAAGTCGCGCTTCCGATTGCGTCGATTATGTAAGCACTCATGCGCGATTAAATGCGTGCGAAGGAACGTGATTTTCTGCGTCAATGCTAGAACTGCAAGAAATACAACGGGACACCGACGAACAAGTTCATTCATTAGCGCGATCATTCTTCGAATACGCAGTAAAAAGCGTTCTTCCTGTCTGTTCGATCGAATGCCAAGGTCCGCCTCGGATGATCGATCACTTGCTCACCGCGGGCAATCGACCCGATCGTTAGAACGCATTCTTCCTAACGATCTCTCGTTTAGACTGGCTCTAAATTAATACAATACACAAATTCTAATCGCATGTTAAATGAATTGAGTCGTTGCTTCCAAAAACGTTTCAAGATGAAACTTTCATTCCTTGAGCTTCTGGTTATTTAAAGGCGCGGCGCGAAGACGCTCGATTTACGCGGACATTATTTTCTCTCTTAAGAATCCCGTGATACTTTGTTTCTCGTCGAGTTACGCGTTTAATTCGCATTTACATTTAGTGCCAAAAATACGGATGGCTTTTGGTGAAACTCTAAAGTTAGCACCGACACAATAAAACTTACATAATCGCTTTTATCTTCAGATTACAAATGCGTTAAACGCACTTTCTCGATATATCTCGAATCGCACATTTAGAGATTTCGAGAATTCAAAAACGTTTAATGCCGTATAGCCGTTTTGAATCTTCGGCATCTTTTTTATTGGAACGAGAATTAGAATTTTAATAGGACTCTGCAATTTTAGAACCACTGCTGTTTGTTCTAAGCAAAAAATCGCGCGGCAGTTTTGCGTCTTTTGAGACTCTTGAATTGCACGAAGATGCACTGACAATGAGTCGCCACGCCGAAAGGTTCGATGCCGCGTGCGCAACTAGGCGCGACAGACGGCTGCTGACCTTCGTTGGAAAGAAGACGAGCGGTATGGAACGAGGGGAAAAGGCGAGAAGAAGAGAGGGACGAGCGCCGAGTTCGAGAACCGAGTCAACGGAGCGTCATACGGAGCGTATGCTGTTGTGAGGCGCTCACGTGAAAATCGGAGCAAGAAGCTGTTGCTGCACACGCTTGCCGAGCTTGCGCGTTCCCGGCATTCCCGAGAATTGGAATCGTGACAGATAGCGTGTCAAGGGAGTGAGAATGCACGGATTGTTTTCAGTTTTCACAGGTCGCGAGTGATAAATTAGTCAATTTCTCATTATCAAGGGACCTCTCTCTCTCGATGCGCTGAAAATTTGACAGAAACTCATGAGCCTTTGCAATCATCCTGCCTTTAAAGTCGCGCAGTGTGGCGCGAGTTAATTCTCCTTCAAGTAAAGACGCAAGTCAGTTGAGTATCACAAACATTCGGCGAGAAGAAATTAATATCACGATAATTAATTAAATTTTACAGGCTCAATCTTGCGTAATCGTATAAAACTGAGTAAAATTCTTCTAAATCCCTGCGCTTGTTCACACTTTGTGCTATCTGGACCTGAAATAGAACTATATAATATAATTTATCTTATCTTAACGATATAGCTTTATCTTCTAATAACTATATAAAAACAGTTATTTGTATTCCGGCAGGAGATTCTCGTTTTCATTTTTACTTAATCAGCAGAAGGAGAGAGGTAAGAGAAAATTTTCTCCGAGACATTGGCCGCGACACATTCCCTGCTCTTTCAGGCGACAAACTCGTCTGAGAAGTCGTTTAATTATTTTTAGCATTTCGATTCATCCGACGGTACGGGCGCGAGCGTGTTCAATTTACAAAATGTGCAGATTTTGCGACGATCTTGCCCCGAGTTGCACGCGGAGCGCGATGTAACTGCATCCGGCCGGCCGCTGGCCAACCACGAAGGGAGAAACGAAAGGCGGGAAGGGAAAGAATACAGCTTAAACGGCTGCATTGCGAGCGCGTCGCGCGGACTGAGCCGCGCCGCGCCGCGCCGGTGCAGCTGCAACGGTCGACGCATCGTCGTTGCAGCGGAGTAGACGTCACCCATGCCGGCGCGGCGTGGCGTGGCGCAAACAGCCGCGCGTTACGTAAAGGTCGGTCACCCGGCGCGTACTACTCTATCACGCCGCCGCGCCGCCGGCACCGCCGCCGCCGTTGTTGCTGGCATCGCATCGCCGATGCTGCCTGCCGCGTGCAATTATCGTCTTCGTTTACGGGAACGGAAAGGCTGTCTCGATATAGCGGAATGTCCACAGAATAGCCGTGGCTAATAATGAAATTTAAAGCCTGATCTGCAGCGCGCTCTTTGCATCCATTTGCATTTACCCCAGTAGCACAGCATAGTAGCGCAATGTTGGGAAATACTGTTAATCTACTTCCACGCAGTTGAAAAATTTGTTTTCTTGTTAAAAAAAATGCCGGTTAAAATTTTTGTACTAAATGTTTAGTACATTTACATTGGACCAATGTTTAGCCAATGTTTAGCTAATGCACCGTGGCACTAGGATAGAAACATTCCGTTTTGTAACCAATAAATACATGTAAAAACTTTGTGCGAGTTGATAAACTGTACAATTGTGCGTTGTCGGCCAATTTTTTAAGTCTTGATTTGCTTAAATAAAATAGAATGTTTCTGGACGTAATGAGCACATTGTAGATCAGCGTCGCTTGCCTCGCAGAATTATTTTCTTTGTTTTAGAAGCGAGAGGGTTCTTGGCTTAAGTGAGACGTGAAATAATTATAGATGCTAATAATAAGATTTTAATCATTAGTTGCGTCACGAAGATACCATCTTTATGGAACTGACGGGATTTTATGGCACTAATCTCTACATCCTCCGTATTATATTCTAGAATATCTTTTACAGTTAGAATAATGAGATTGA